CACTGGCACATTAAATGTCATGAATTTGCACCTCACAGCACTGGAAGACTTTGTGAAATTCTTTTTTTTTAAAAAATTGCTTTAGATTTAACCAATTATTCTGCGATGACTGCCTGGTACCTTGCTGAACCTGACACATGGGAGGAATTTCAAAAAGGACATTGGGTTGGTAAAAGTTCTCTTCTGTGCATTTGGTTCAGATGAAGCCCTAGAACACAAACAGAGCAATCGGGGAGTGTGTGGGCATAATACAGCATCCAAATACTTTTTTCCTGGTTTTACCGGACTACCCCAGAACGCCATCACATTTCGAGCTAAACATTAAAGGTGGCTCAGATGACTTCCCCAGAAGTAACCAAGCCCCATTTAGACTCGTTAACTGCAGTTAAAAGCCAAGACGGGGCAATTTTCAAACTATAAGATGAGCTTACTCTCATTGGCAATCCATTCGTATATCACAGACTGGAGCTCACTAATGTTATGACAAAAGTAGTCTTCAGTGAAAATATATTTATTTGACTGACTTCTTTATCTATTTTAGGTCACAACTTGTATGAAGCCCTCAAATCCCAAAGAATTATCCACAGGTTTCAATCAAGAAGAAGAGACTAAAGCTGTGCTCGTATGCAAAGAAGAAAGTCAGAGTGATGGTGGCAGTGATTATTAGAGATAACTTTAGACAAGTCATTGCTTGCTTGTCTCCTGGTTGTGTCCAGATCTCAGCATGATGTAGAACTACATAAGACTGTGGGACAGTATGAGTTCTCCATGTTACCACAATCAATGTTCAAATGCAATGGAGCAATGCATATTTGCCAGGCAAAAAAGCAAAGTAACGCACACCTTGCACTGTCTTCCTAAGCCAGCACCCACTGAGAAAGTGATCGTTACCTTATACCAGCAGAGGCCTTTCAATGTAGCAATCATAAATTGAGTGGATGAGGTACATGCTCACAACACACTAGAAACCATTAACCTGCTGAGAGTTGGCTAAACACTTCATTATGAAGCAAAAGAGGAAATACTGAACCTATCATGAAGTCCACCTTGTTTGACACAGATGCAAAGGAATCAGACTCAGAAAGAAGAGACTTCATGGTATTTGCTCCTGTCCAATACAAAATCATTGGCTCCATGAACATGTTGAATGTAACAATGAAGAAAACACTGTTTCATACTTGCATGAGGGATCAGTTAATTGATTACCTTACAGGAAAAATGTTCCAGCATGTAAAGAACAGCTTGAAGAATTTTGTCATCGCATGTTGTAATGAAACTGCTGCCTCGCACTGTTTGGAGCTTCCTGTGAGGAAGCTGATACTAAAATTATCTTGCATGCCATCAAAGCTACAGAGAGGTTTTTAGCACAAGATATGGATGTTCTAGTTCTCTTTGTGAGACACTACCCAAGACTTCTGCAAGATTCTGTTTTTGTGCCACCATACTGCCAGATTTCCACATCCTTTCAGTCTGTGACACTATTGTAAGGTAGGCTGGAAAGATTTGATTCAGCCTGTGAAGACTCGCTTCTTGCTCTGAAGGTGCTCAGAAGGAATGAGACACTGACTGATGACATTCATATGCTAAGTTAACCATTTAAAACCAACAACACTTGCAGAACTACCTTCATGTATGTTTTCCAAGAAGCAGACAAATGGAGAAGAATTTAAAGGGTGAATTTATGCCTATCAATAGGGCAAATTATCAAGCAATAGAATGGGATGTGCTCAATCATCACAGAGTCAAACTACCATCCCCCTATTAGGTATTGATGGGTCTTAGAAGATGGACTGATCATACCAATTATGCGTGAAATACCATGCACTCCCAGATCAACCCTTCAACTAATCAAATGCTCATCTATTAAGATCAGATGCTCACCACCCTGCAGATATTTGGGCAGCTGGCTTCTTCGTACTGATGTGAGTACAGTATGGACGAGGATCAGTGTCACAAAATGTCTAGCAGTAGTGCCCGAGATGGAGATAACACTTGCAATGACTTTGATGAATATTTTTTTCACTCCTACATGTTAAGGCTAACTTCCCTAGGATTAATAAAGGTCAGTCTTTTTTTAATGTAACCAATGCTTCCCTGTGTTAAAGTATAATTAAAATAAATTTTAAAAAATATATTTTCGTGCCTGTATATCTGCATAATTGTTCTAGGTTTGTTATGTATTCATGGGAGAAAGGGCTTTTGAATGATATCCTAAGTCTACTCATTTCCTACAGCACTTCCTCAATTACAGGAAAGTTATCAAAATTTCCACAACTGGATGACCTGCAGCAGGGAGCCAGGGTGGGGCAGCAAGTCCCTCCTGCCATGCTGCTGAAAGTGATACCATTGAAACTATGATTTTGTCAATTTTTATGAATCAAATTACACCTCCCATACCTTTCTATTATTTACTTGCCCAGAGAATCAGATCTTATTGCATTATGCTCCCAGACAACGTGCAATGTCACATACTGGCCTGAAGGGGTGCTTGGGCAGTGAGTTTGCCCCATGACAAGATGGTATGCCCTTGAATTGCTGATAAAGTGTGCTTTAATATAACATTAAGGGAAAAAAACACAGCTAAACAAGCACCCCATTAAATATGAAGAAAGATAGGAAATTGATTACACATTTTTATAATTACAATTTTGTCCAGCTTTTTCATTCTCCCACAGTGCAATAATACTTTCTTGCTAAGACAAATTTTGTTTGATCACTCATCCCTTATTATACTAATAGTGTCTACCCTTCAGCAGACTCTCTTAGCTTTTCTTCCAGCTCCCTCCATTGTGTTTCCCTTTCACACTCATATTATTTCCAAAGTCTCTGGGATCTCTGTGCAGCACAACTGGATGGTCCCGATACTCTTGATCATTTCCTATTTCACAAAACTCACACCAGTTGCTTGACGTAATCCCTTCTCTACACTGCTCATGTCCTTGTCTCTCTCTTTCATAGCTCTTTTTATAACAGACTGAAAGTTGTCCACAAGACTGCCTCTTCTTAGGGAGATGCCAGGATTTTGTAATCTATCCTATCTTATCAATATTATTGCAGAATCAGACACATCAGAGAGCCTAAGTTAGTATCTCTCTCAATTACAGAGAACCGCATAGCTAATAAAAAAAGAGAATTCTTGGTTATACCAGGTGCTTTCCTAGTCGTCCCAGATACATGGATTACAGATGTTTAATGCTGTCTAAAATAACATACAGCATATTCAACATAATGGTAAAATGTTAATTTATGAACAAAGCAAAAATTATTTGAGCACAAAACAGTGTTTAATGTACTGCATAATGTTGTAGATGTAAATTATTTGGTTCCTCAATCCCATCTAGTAATATTTTATACAACATTTCATGAAAACATAGGTGCAATTCATTAAAATGGGCTCTGATGCAACACTGACACCCAGACTTAAAACTACCTGAAAAAGTTGTTTAAAAAAAATAAATAAAGATAGTTAGTTAGTAAAATGTTGAGTTATAAGGAACTGCCCCTTAGTGAGATTTGTGTTAAACTTGGTTTTACTTAATTTGTCCAGAAATGATGTGGTTGAAGTAAAAAGAACGTAAATTACACTAACAAACAGTCTTAAATACTGGATCCATTGTTAATAGTACTAAGTCCTTTGCTTGTAGAAATTGTCAATCCTCTCAGAGGGCAAAATACCTCTTGCTTTGAAAGGGAGCATTAGAGTGGCCTCTGCTCAAGAAGCTGTCCTTGACATACACAATATGGACAACTATCATCTAGTAACTTCTCTTACTTATTTTTAGTAAGCTTGTGGAGAAAGTTGTAGTGAGAAACTTTCACAGTATCTGGATACTTTTGATCTTCTTGACCCTTGTTAAGTTGGGTGAAGACCTGACTTTGGCTCAAAAACAGCATTTGTTATATTGGTCAATTATCTCTTCCATTCTGATATTACAAAATCTCATCTTCACTAATTGTCTTCAATACTGTTGATCATGGGGTGTTGCTGACTTGCCTCTGGAGCTTGGTGGGAATGGATGAGGCTCCCTGTCAGTGGCTTTGTTCTTTTCTCCGAAAGATCTCAGTGGATAGTCACGGGCTATCCTTTTACTCCTCTTCTTGAAGGACTCTTAAGTGTGGAGTGAGCCAGGGTGACATTTTGTCACCCCACCTGTTCAGTGTGTATATGGTGTCATCAGGAAGGTTAAAAAAGGGAGTTAGGGTAGTATGGCATTTTCAATATGCTGATCACACCAAATTGTATATTTGTCTTGTCTGACTAGTACAACAAAGTCATCCATTGCCTCAGACAATGTCAATGGGCCATCCACGGATGAAAGAGAGCTGCTTGTAGGTCAAACCAGACAAGACTGAGCTGGGAGAATAAGTTGTAGGCGATGACAGAAACAATATTATTTCTTTTCACGGTGGGAGTGCCTCAGCCATTTAGTCACCAGAGTTTGCAACTCATGGATGACTTTAGACCCCCAGCTGTTAGATGACCATATTAACGTAGTAACCAGGTTGGTTTTTACCCTGTTGGCTTTGTCAGGAGGTTGCCTAAGAGTCAAGTGCCATGCCTGATCTTTGACAGGTGTGATATTAATCATATATTAAGCCATAGGTGCTGGAACTAGGGCTGGAACTAAGGCTGTTGGGGGTGCTGCTCCACCCCCTGGCTTGAAGTGATTTCCATTATATATAGATTTTACTATTTGATTCTATGGCTCTCAGCACCCCCACTATACAAATTGTTTCAGCCTCTGCTGCCTGTGGCTGGAGCTGTGTGTTTGCACAATGAATGGGACTTGAGGGTGCCCAGCATTGGGCAGGATCAGGCCCTATTCAGTGTAACCTTCGGGAGTGGCCTCTAAGAGTTATACGTAACACCCTCGTGAGCGCCTGAGACCTGCCCCAAGCAGGAGAAGGGCAAGCGGAAGAAAGAACTACATTTCCCAATCGCCTTTGTGCTGCAGGCCGCTTGTGATTGGCCGGAGTCTGCGTCCAATCAGCGAGGAAGAGGTGGCTAACGGTGCGGCAGGTGCTCCCCGAAGGAGGCTGGGCTGTGGGGGGAGGGAACATGGCGCTGGGTACCAGGGCATCGCGGTGGCTGCTGTACCTGCCGGCCGGGAGTTGCCTCCTCCTGGTGCTGCTGCTGCTGCTCTGTGTGCAGCTCGGGGGCGGACAGAAGAAGAAGGAGGTAGAACCGTTCGCTCCTCTCTGGCGAGCCCCGGCCCGGGTGGGGAGCAGGCTTGGGCTGCAGGCTCCCACTCCCGGCCCTATGAGCCCCATGCCCAGGCGCGGCCCAGGCGTGGAATGGGGGTGAGGGGTCTCGTTCACGTGACTCAGCCGCGCTCTCCCCTCCCGGACTCGCCTTGCGTTGCAGGATGGGCTGATCCCTCCCCCGGGCTCTGGGGGCTGCCTGTACCCCACAACGCCGGGGTCTCTGCACGCTGTCATTCGTGCCCCATCGCCGCCTGGGTCCGCAGCCCGTGGGTGAGCCCCCCCTTTTCCGTCTTGCTCAAGGCGCTGACACCCTGGCGTGGATTGCTCCCTAGCCCGCTGTCCATCGCCTGGATGGCTTCCTCACCCCACTCTATAGGAACGTGTAAATTGCTGATCCACAGCACTCGTTCTAGTTATGTCACTACCCCTTAAACTTGCCTGTTAATACACTGGCAAAACAGGCCTCTCTAAAAAGACTTAATTATGTGCAAATTGATAACTGACACATCTCCGGACTAATTACAACAGAATGTTGGATAATTTTGATTTTACTTTACATTCACAATGTTGAAGTTTTATCTTGTTACACCGTTTCACCCTGTGTTTGCCTCAAAAGAAGTCCTGTCCTTTTGAATTTGGCCCTAAATGTAGCTTTTAAATAAAGATTATAAAGTCAATGGGCATGGTTCTATATGCCTTTTTCCCAATTAAAACACTTTAAAAAACAGGGGAAGAGGGCTAGCTGTACACTGTGTGTTTGGGCTATTGCAGGAGACCTTAATGTGAAATTGACTAGACCTAGTTGTATGAATAATGAAATTGAATGGTATATGTTTGTTGTTCAACTGAAAGTAATGCCAACAGACAAACAGATAAATAATCACAGTGTGCTTGTGTGTACATTGAATCTCAGCTCTAAAGATCAAAGAAATACTTGTAAACCTATACAAGATTGGGGGGGAAGTAGGAGATTAAAAAACAAAATACTAAAACCAAAATCAATGTAATGATTTCCAAAGTGCTGAGCACCCAACAGTCCCTTGGAAGTCACTGAAATCTGAAAAATACTTAGACATCTAAATAGTGATTTAGCTGCTTAACTCTTTTTGGACTTTCCAGCATAAGAAAAGGAAACAAATAACATAGAGTAGGTTCAACTTTCTGATGCTACAATTAACCATGTTTTCTGGATTTAAATACTTGCTTGTCTTTTTCAAACAGTAAATATGTTTTTAGGACTTGTTTGTGTCTGTGTCTTGGAAAAATACTAACATTGCAACTAATGCTTTGACACTTGTAGCGCAGCTGCCACACCACATGCAAGAAGGATGAAAACATACTTTTTTTTTTAATGGGTTAAATGGGTTCTTTTCCTCATAAGAAAATAATGGTAACTCAAAGCGAAGTGGCCTTTGAGAAACACTTTTGGTAACGTATGTGTGCATCCTCATTTTACCACAGAGATGGCAAGTAACAGGATCCAAATGGATAGTCTTTCTTGTTTAGCCATTTTTTTTATTACAGTACAAGTTGCTATTGCTCTTTTCCTCTCAAAAGCTTCTACTCAGCCTTCTTGCTTCTAGCAAATGGTTCTCTCCCTCTTTATAAGATCTGTCTACTGTTGTAATTGCTACCTCTTCCTTCTTCCTCCAAATTTCTCCTATACTGGAGTTGAATTTGTCCCAACAATGTACATGCTTCCAGAATCTAGCAAACCATATACAATGTTTTTATTTTTAATATACATTTATAAGACATAATTTTGCTAATTGTGTGTTAACTTTGTGTTCTGCATTTACTGTAAACATATACTGAGAGTTTAACACCCCTCATCCAGCACCAAATCTCATGAATTGAAACCATGCAGTTATTCGTCCAGATACAGTGTGATTAGAGCTTGTATGTGCTAAAAATGGAGCCTGTAAAGGAAGGAGCTGTCATAAACAGATAGTTACGGGTTAATGCCTCTTTTACCTGTAAAGGGTTAAGAAGTTCACCTAGCCTAGCTGACACCTGACCAGAGGAACCAATGGGAGGACAAGATGGTTCAAAGGGAAGGAGGGAAGTTCCCTTTGTTGAGTTTGACTTTGGACTGGAGGGAAAAGCTCCAGAATTCAGCCTCTTATTAAGTAGTGAGTATTAGTGAAGGAAATAAATAGGTTTATTTCTTTGTAACCTGTCTTGTGCATTTAGAGGAATAGTCAAATTTGTGTGTGTGTGTGTGTGTGTGTGTGTGTGTGACACTAAGGGTTTACCCAGGGGAGCATCCTCTGTGTTTGGAATCTGTTGTCTGTGAGAGTAGCTGGTGCGCTAATCTCTCCTAGAGGGTTTTCTTTTACCTTTCTTTTCTTTAATTAAAAGGTCTTTTTTCTTAATACCTGATTGATTTCTCCTTGTTTTAAGATCCAAGGGGTTGGATCTGTGTTCACCAGGG